GGCAAAGTCCACTAGCTCAGCTGTGGACATGTCTTTGCAGGCCAGTTTGAGGATTGGAGAGATGTCACAGAAAAAGTGGTTCAGGACATTGGAGCCACAGAACACAACATGTGAAATAAAATAGACTTTGATCATAGTGATCATGAAGCCAGTCATATAGGAAAAAGCCACCAGCTGCATACAATAACCTGTGGTCATGATGACTGGGTATCGGAGAGGGTGGCAAATGGCCACATAGCGGTCATAGGCCATGGCTGCCAAGAGAACACACTCTGTGCAGGCCAGAGAGATAAAAAAGTAGAGCTGGGTCATGCAACCTGTGAAGGAGATGTGCCGTCTCTGCAGGAGAAATCCATCTAACATCTTGGAGACAGTGACAGAGACATACCAGACCTCCAGGAAGGACAGACTGCTCAAGAAGTAGTACATGGGTTTATGGAGGGAGCCAGTGACACAAACAGTGAGCATGATGGTAAGGTTCTCAACTATCACCAGCAGGTAGACTACAAGGAAAAGGAAGAAGAGAAGGACCTGCAGCCAAGGGGCAGTGGAGAAGCCCACCAGGATGAACTCACTGACTACAGTGATATTTCCCTCCACCATGGCTAAAAGTATCAAGAAGCATTAATGTCTTCAATGACAATGCCACAAATAATGAAGATGGTTATGGCTTTAGTAAAGACACAGGAGTAAGTTAGAATTTCAATCTTTCCTGTGCATGAAATTCATAAAATAAACTATTTTTTTTTAACAGGAGTTACTTTGAAAATATGAAGCACATATACTTTCCATTCATTTTTTTATTTTTTATGAACGTCTCCTAGAATCTAAATTTACCTCTGCCCCTAACTCTCACTCACCTGATGAAAATGACAGCAGTGTCACTATCCATGTCATTCCCAGCTCCAATGTCAGTAAACATAGACCTATTCTCTCTCGCTTATTGGTTTTATACCTCTGTTTAATTAGAAACTCACTGCACAGAGACTTATTCCTGCCTGAAAGAATGCACAGAGCTCATAAGTATAGCATTAAGTCAGAGAAAGTTTCAAAAGTTTATTATTTTGTTGATATCTTGGCTGAAGTCCTTTGACATAGCACAGCTTCTTCAACATAGAATCTATGAAGTTAGAAAATAAGAAAAACTATTAGAAAATTTATTCAATGACTCGCCCTATTTATTGTCTTCAGATAAAATGTGAATATTTTCTTTATCACACACAGAATATTGTCATAATTTGATCCCTACTTACTTGTGCACCTATCGTGTTGCCTTCTAAATTATATTTCATGTTCTAGATGTATTAAACTAGTTTTTGCTCCCCAAGCAAAACCTCTCTTGTCCCTGTGACTTTGCATATATTTGTCCTTCCTATTCCATCCTTTCTTTAATATTTACCTTCTGAACTTTTTCTATTTTCCATTTTAAAAGCATTGCTGAAGCTGGGTCAACTGCCTAGTCAGCACATACAACATTGCACAACTCCAATATGTAGAAAAGATTTCTCCCCACTACTCTGTAACTTTCCATAATTTTAGACTCTTTCTTCAGCACTGTATGCACAACACCTACAACAGTAACAAGAAAATGCATACATATGAAATGAATATTCAATGAACAAGTGGATTGATTAATGAATGCTTTGAAGCTTTGGGATTCACAAGAAATAGATCAGGGGAAGAAGAGAGTGATCTCAGGGTCTTAGCTAGCAGGAGGCACATGTCTATAAGGCTGTAAGGCTATTAGACATGTTCTCAGCTCACACATTTGGGCTGCTCTCATGACAAACATATCCAAAAGAACACTGGACATAACCTCTGTTCTCAGGCCAGTCAGTGTCTTTAACTATCAGTCATTGCCTCAGACTCTGGCCCAGAGAGACGAGGAGAGGGGAGGCAGGAGGGTGCATGCATACAGGTCTTGTAAGGCTTCAAGGCAGAATTATTTGGGAACTAGACTAGCTATTTTAGCCTGTAGTTAAGGAAATGGTTCCTATCGTGTTATCTCTTAAAAACACATATAAATAGATGTATATCCCCATTAAACACCACCATTATCTATACAGCCTGACTTCAGGTCCTGCCTTCTGATCATTGCTTATCCTTTCCGATCACAGTCTCTGTTCACCATTGCTGTTCTCTTGACAGAGAGAAGGTAGGAGGCCAAACAAGGTTCATCATGATACCCCACTAGACTAGAGACATTTAGCCATAGCTCATGGCAACAGACTGAGGGATAAAGTGCTGGAATACAAATTATTGGCATCTCTTTTTCATAGCAGCACACATCAGTAGTGTTGCTTGCTGGCTGGGAAGAGATTTTCCCCCATCTCTCACCTCCAGCCTTCACTCTAACCCAGGAGTTCTAGTCAAGTTCCTCAGTGCCTTTGACCAAACTCTTCCCAGCGGAGAGGAGGAGGAATCTGGTTCTGGATTCTGGGATTGGCTAGTTTCTCCTTTATGGTACACTCAGTAGGAAGCAGATTGGAGCAGTGGAGAGGCTTCAATCCTTCAAAATGTTCATAACAGTACACATTACCACCATCAGCCACACATTTTTCCATACACTCACCTTTGCATAGTGGTTAAAAGCACTGATTTTAGAGTCAGTTTGGGTATTGGTTTCATAACCTATTAGCTGTGTCATCTTAAACAGAATATTTAATAATTATGTGTTTCAATATCTTCTCCTGTAAAATGGGAATAATGATAATAATACCTATGTTACTATTTTGTTGTGGGAATCCAATGTGGTAATGCCTAGAAAACAGTTTACACAGGACTTGGTCCATGGATATTGTTTTCATTAAATTGTGTCATATAATAGTCAAACATGCTCACTCAATCATATGTGCTCACATTTTTTCATTCATATATGCT